TGGGAAGCACTCACCACTTCAAGGTTACATGACCTTTCTGGACGCGCTTCATATTGAAGCCAACAGTCGGGATGGAGCTAGGACCAGTCAGCGCTTGGCCCAGCTACGATGGCGTTCATGGTTGCGCAAAGCAGTAGCTTCGGGACACGGATGAAACAACGTCGCCGCCGGCTCGCGCAACTCGGGACGGATGTAGACCTACTCGACAGTAAACTCTCCTCCCTATACACGAATGGGTCAGCTTGCATGCATCGAGACTGATGATGTCGATACAGGAGGTTGTTTCCGCATCAGGAAGAGACTCACCGCCAGAACTCTCAACAGCGAAGTCTTGCCAGCGTTTTGCAACCCGATCATGGTGATGTCCATCTCAGTCGCCCTGTACGGTGTCAGCGGTCATCAGCCAGGCCATGTTATCGTCGCCCGTGATCTTGCTTTTTCGTGGGCGCAAGCTGAGCAGTTGGCAGAGTATCAAATAGCGCATCAGGCAGGCATCAGAGCGATGGCATTTGACATGGTAAGAAAAGGACAGGTAGGCATACCAGAACAGGCGGAGCAGCCAGTCGTAGATGCGACGGAAGAGGTTCGCCATGGCGGTTGTCAGGGCGATTTCTGACTCGGTGCTGTTGTCGTGATCTGGTCGGGAGGAGTGGTGATGTACGGGCGATGGAGGGAAGTCTGGGAACCTTGATCCTTGCTGCGGGGCATGTAATAGGCGTGATCGCCGTAGTCTTAGCAGCAGCAACGGGCAAATGAAGTTAGTTTCCAAAGTAGAAAGCGGATGCAAAGAGCGCAGGCAATGCTGTGAGGAAGTAGAGAAGCAGAGCTGTGCCGCCCTAACGAAAGCCCGGAGTGGTTCACGCTGCAGCACAGTGATGGAGCCGCCGCGGCGTGTGACTTTGGCCAGCGCGCTAGGCAGGGGTGGCCTATCGGACTAGTCTAGTAAAAAAGTTCGAGATTGGCGTCGCAACTTCACAATCGCGCTGCAGCTTGCCAAACGCGACCGCCCCAATACTCTGGGATAATATATTCTGCGCATACTGCTGCGAGTTGCGTCTCTTGTTTTCCGGCCTACAGCGACAAAGAGCCACCTGCACAAACCATGGCGCCTGCCGCAAGGGCCGACAGCCCGCAGGAATGGTCGACCAAGGCAAGCGACTACTTTTTTCGACATTGACCAACCCCATATCTAATAGGTAATCCAGTTTGACACGCTCAGGCGGCACGACTTGTTCCGCAACCCCCCCAAAGACAAGACAGCATATCCCACGCTCGCTGCCGCCGTGGACCCCCACATCAACTCGTTCAACACCATCTTCACTCCCGGCGGCCAGCTAGCTCAGGGCATACGAGACATTGGCACCAAGATCTTCCTCGATGGCGACCCATACGCCGCGCCCGAAGACGTTGGCCAGAGAAACCGCCTCTCTCTGCGCATCTCCGATGTCTTCCTCGACAAGCCAGTCCTGCCGCCTTCCAACAAGGTCGCGCTCAAGAACCGAAATATCTATCCTGCCGAAGCCCGAGAACGACATGCTTCGTACCGCGGCAAGATGCGTGCGCGACTTGAGTGGCGGGTCAACAACGGAGATTGGCAGGAGGACGTCGTGGATCTCGGCGGCGTACCCGTCATGCTGAGATCGAACCGCTGCCAGCTTGAGGGCATGTCGCCAGCGGCACTAGTCAAGGCGAAAGAAGAGTCTGACGAGCTTGGCGGCTACTTCATCGTCAACGGCATCGAGAAGATTATCCGTCTCCTCCAGGTCAATCGTCGCAACTACCCCATGGCCATCAAGCGTGGCGCCTTTACCAACCGTGGCCCCGGTTACACCCAGTTCGGTATCCAGCTCAGATCGATGCGACCCGACCAGACCTCGCAAACCAACGCCCTGCACTACCTCAGCGACGGCAATGTCAACTTCCGTTTTTCCTGGCGCAAGTCCGAATACCTGGTCCCCATCGTCATGGTGATGAAGGCCTTGGTCGAAACCAACGACCGCGAGATTTTCGAGGGTCTGGTTGGCGCCGCCGGCTCAGAAGGTCTGGAAGAGAAGCAATTCGTTACCGATCGCGTGGAACTGCTACTCCGAACATACAAGGTCTACGGGCTGCACACCAAGGCGAAGACTCGCGCGTATCTTGGTGGGAAGTTCAAGGTCGTACTTGGTCTGCCAGCCGACGTCACCGACGAGGAGGCCGGTACAGAATTCCTCCGCAAGATCGTTCTACCTCATCTAGGCTGCGTAAATGTCACACCGAGTCAGGACGCGGACAAGTTCAGAATGCTGCTGTTCATGGCCAGGAAGCTTTATGCTTTGGTCGAAGGCGACTGCGCTGTCGACAACCCGGATGCCGTCCAGAACCAGGAGATTCTGCTAGGCGGCCAACTCTACGGCATGATTCTGAAGGAGAAGCTGGAGGAGTGGCTCAACAGCTTTCAGCTAGTCCTGAGGGAGTGGGGAAGGAAGACGGAGTACAAGCCCTTTACATCTCAAGATTTCACCAAGGATTGGAACTCGAGGATCCTCCGAAGAACACAAATGAACCTTGGTCAAGCTATGGAGTACTTCCTCAGTACAGGCAATTTGATCAGTCCGACTGGTCTCGATTTGCAACAAACATCCGGATATGTTGTGGTTGCTGAGAAATTGAACTTTCCACGTTTCATCTCCCATTTCCGAATGGTGCATCGAGGTGCTTTCTTCGCCCAGCTTAAGACAACCACGGTTCGTAAATTGCTGCCGGAGTCATGGGGCTTCATGTGTCCTGTCCACACCCCTGACGGTAGTCCTTGTGGACTTCTCAACCATTTTGCCCACAAATGCAAGATTGCGACTTCCAACCTCGATGTCTCAGCAATTCCCAATCTCGTTGCGCAACTGGGCGTATCGAGTAAGTCGTCTGCCTCCCTGGAAGCTAGTGTGGTTGTTCAATTAGACGGTCGTGTCCTAGGTTTCTGCTCGCCAAAGCAAGCCAAGGTCATCGCGGACACGCTTCGTTACTGGAAGGTTGAAGGCTCACACAATGTACCATTGGAGATGGAAATTGGTTACATCCCCGGATCCAACGGTGGCCAGTACCCAGGTGTCTACATGTTCTCGCAAAGCTCGCGAATGTACCGACCTGTCAAGTACTTGCCTCTCAGCAAGACAGACTACGTAGGACCATTCGAGCAACCATACATGTCGATTGCATGCACGGACGCCGAGATCGTATCCGGTGATTCAACGCACGTGGAGATCGAGCCCACGAACATCTTCAGTATCATCGCCAACCAAACACCCTTCTCGGACTTCAATCAATCTCCACGTAACATGTACCAGGTAAGTTGTAATCGTTCGAAGTGCATGTGAGACATACGCTGATATTTTACCTCCACGCTTTCAGTGTCAGATGGGTAAACAATCGATGGGTACACCAGGAACTGCTATGGCCTACCGAACCGACAACAAGACCTACCGCTTACAGACTGGTCAAACTCCCATCGCTCGGCCTCCATTGCACAACGAGTACGGCATGGACAACTTCCCGAACGGAATGAATGCAGTTGTGGCTGTCATCTCCTACACCGGATACGACATGGACGACGCTATGATCTTGAACAAGTCATCACACGAGCGCGGTTTCGGCCACGGCACTGTTTACAAGACGAAGATTTGTGACCTCGAAGAAGGCAGCCGAAGGAATCGATCAAGCAGGACAGTTACCAAGCTGTTTGGCTTTGCTCCCGAAGGCTTGGTGAAAGCCGCGGCCAAGGAGACTCTCGATGAAGACGGTCTTCCTCGTATTGGGACTATGCTGCGATCTGGCGACGTCATTGCTGCATGGCACACTGTTTCGTACGACCCAGCTACCGGCGATTACATCAACCGCGACGGCCAGACACAGTTCTTCAAATACAAGGACGATGAACTCGCTTTTGTCGAAGAAGTCCGTATCATCGGCGCTGAGGATGGAGCACAACCATGCCAGAAGCTCAGCATCAAGCTTCGCATTCCTCGTTCTCCTGTCGTAGGTGACAAGTTCTCTTCCAGACATGGACAGAAGGGTGTCGTCAGTCAGAAGTTCCCCACTCCAGACATGCCATTCTCGGAAAGCGGTATGCAGCCTGATGTTATCATCAACCCTCACGCTTTCCCCTCGCGAATGACAATTGGTATGTTCGTCGAGTCGCTAGCTGGAAAGTCTGGAGCACTCCACGGTATGGCCCAGGATTCAACGCCCTTCCGCTTTGACGAGCAAAATACTGCTGTCGACTATTTCGGTCACCAGCTATCCAAGGCTGGTTACAACTACTACGGCAACGAGCCTATGTACTCGGGTATCACTGGACAAGAATTGCACGCAGATATCTATATCGGTGTCGTCTACTACCAGCGTCTACGACACAGTAAGTCATTCTTCTAATAACAATCTAAACTTTTACTTACAATTACGCAGTGGTCAATGATAAGTTCCAAGCCAGAACCACGGGTCCTGTGGTGTCCACGACAGGGCAGCCTATCAAGGGAAGAAGCAAGGGAGGTGGTATCCGTGTCGGAGAAATGGAACGTGATTCTCTACTTGCTCACGGCACAGCCTTCCTTCTCCAGGACCGCTTGATGAACTGCTCCGATTACACCAAAGCAGCCATCTGCCGTACCTGCGGCTCTTTCCTCAGCACAACACCAACCGTCAGCGAGTACGGTCGCAAGAAGGATAGAAGTGGCAAGGACATTACCATCCGTTGCAGAAGGTGCGCCGTATTGGCCGACAACACCAGCAGCAAAGCCGATCTGTGGATGGACGCACAAGGCCTGCGATACTCTGGTGGCGAAGACGTTGCTGTGGTTGCAGTACCTGGTGTGCTCAAATTCCTTGACATTGAGCTGGCTAGTATGGGTGTCAGGCTCAAGTTCAACGTCGGGCCGTAAAGAGTTGGGAGAATCGAGGAATGTAAACGAAGATGATCGAAACGTGTTTGCGCATTTTCATGGCGTATTCTGGTTAGTGGCACTTGTCAAAAAGTCGGTTCAGCAGCATTAATGGGCGTCTGGCGCACGAACGAATCAGCATAGACTGTAGTATGAATTGAAGCATACCCTTCAAAAACCTTGGTTTGTTGGTCTCGAAAGTAGCGGCTTGTGAGCCACCAAAAGAAAAACAGAGAGGGTTTTCTTGTATGTCTTTGTCTCTTCTTTCAAGAGTAAAGCTCTGCATCGTCCATCCTCCTCATATCCGACATGCCACCCATCTCGCCATGCCCAGCATGTTCGGGTCTCTTGAGAGCAGTCCCCTCCTTCAAGTAGAGTATCAACCTAAACGCCGCGTTGCCATTCAGATAGTATCTATGCAACCGTTTGCTCCTGATAAACCCCAATCTTTCGTACAGTTTCAAGCTCGCAGTATTCGACACCTCGGTCTCTAGTACTATCTCGTCGGCGTCGCGCGCGGTCATAGCATCAATGGCCAGTCGGACAAGTTGCGTGGCTATGCCTCGGCCGCGGTATTCTTCTTGGGTTGCGAGCATGGCGATGTAGCCGCGGTAGGTGCCGCTGCGGTGCGGTTCGAGTTTGCATGTGATTACGCCGATTAAAGTGTTAGTGGGGGAGAGGGCCTGTGGGTAGGAGTCAGTTTATCTGAAAGATAGAGGGGTGAAGAAGGGACTGGTACCATATAGCACAGGTCACCCCATTGGTACAAGAAATACCGGTATACATAGATACTGTAAGGTTCGGAAAGGTCTTTGGAGATTAGTTGGCGGATGGCGGGGAGGTATTGCTCTTCTTTCGAGGGCTCGTATTGGACGTATTGGAGGTCTGACTCGCTCAGCTCTTTGGCGTCGGTTCTCTTTGCCGGCGCATTGCTTGTGACGTCGCCATCTTCATTGTCGGCCATGGCGCGTAGGACATGAGAGTGATGCGCGGCAAGTGGAGGGGCTTCAATAGCGGGAGGCTCTCCGGCTTGGCAGCATCAGGAACGTGCTTCTCCTGCATCCTTGTGCCGATCATTCCGTCACATGTCGGAGGTCTCGGTCTTTGGGAAAGATAGACAAAATCCCTCGTGGCAGGCGCCCACGTTTCCTCGAATAACCCCGCCTAGACGTTACAACTTTGTGTACATGTCTTTTCTAAGACGCCGCTTCGGCGGTGGCAGCGCTGGCGCCGGCGACGATAGCGAGATCTCGACACCCGACCTGTCCCGCGAGCCCTCGCCCGGACCGGACGGTAAACGACCTGCGAACCTACGCCTGATCACCGCCGAGCAGCTCCAGACGCTGAAGAAGAAGGGCCAGCACAAGAAGAGAAGAAATGTATGGGTGTTTGGACTTGGAGGCCTGTTTGGGCTGCTGCTGGCCGGCTTCTTTGCCAGCAGTAACGACATGATTGATCTAAGCAGTCTGGAGGGTGTCAACCTCGAGAGTATCATGGAAGCGCTACCGGACAACTTTGTGAAGAGTGCGCAGCAGTTGCAGGTGCGCGATATTTCCGCTTCTTCCAAGAATCGACTGCACTACAGCAACTACGAGTTGTCAGGAATCGAGGCTGACTGCCCCAACTCAGTAGAAAACAGAACGAGACGCCGTAAACTACGATTCCTTCGCCGTCGGCCTACATGCGCAGAAACAAGGCATAAAAGCGAAACATCCCGTTATAATGATTCCTGGCGTCATCTCGACAGGTCTTGAATCTTGGGGTACTGAAGAAGGCTCAAGACAATACTTTCGCAAGAGGCTATGGGGTTCGTGGACAATGATGCGCGCACTCGTTTTGGACAAGGTCCAGTGGAAACGGCATATTATGCTCGACAAAGACACTGGTCTTGATCCCCCAGGCGTAAAGCTACGAGCAGCCCAGGGGTTCGACGCAGCTGACTTCTTCATAACGGGCTACTGGATATGGAATAAGATCCTCGAGAACCTCGCTACAATAGGCTACGATCCCGGGAACGCCTTCACGGCGGCTTACGATTGGCGCATGTCATACATGAACTACGAGATCCGTGATCAGTACTTTACCCGTCTTAAGTCCCACATCGAAGTTGCAGTGCGCGTATCGGACAGGAAGGTCGTCCTCCTCTCGCACTCCATGGGCTCTCAAGTACTATACTACTTCCTACATTGGGTGGAAGCAAAGGGATACGGAAATGGTGGGTCGGGTTGGGTGGATGAATACATCGATAGCTGGATCAACATCAGCGGATGTATGCTCGGCGCATTGAAAGACATGCCCGCCGTCCTCTCCGGCGAGATGAAGGACACTGCCCAACTAAACGCCTTTGCGGTCTACGGTCTCGAACGTTTCCTTTCCCGCTACGAACGCGCCGAGATCTTCCGCGCAATGCCCGGCTTGTCTTCCATGCTGCCGCTTGGTGGAAACGCCGTTTGGGGCGACGAGAATGGTGCGCCCGACGACCTACCTGGCCAGAACGTCACCTTTGGCCCCTTCATTCGTTTCCGCAACGCCAATTCTACCATGACGCAAAAGAATATTACCGTCGACGAAAGTCTGCCTTTTCTCTTCCGCAACACAGAACCCTGGTTCAAGAAGATGATTCAGACATCTTACTCCCATGGTGTAGCGCATACAACCAAGCAGGTTGAGGACAACCAATTTATCCCCGCTAAATGGGTGAACCCTCTCGAGACGCGACTGCCGCTCGCTCCCAACTTCAAGATCTATTGCTTTTATGGTATCGGTAAAGATACGGAGCGTGGATACTACTACCGCAGTGATGACGATCCTTTGTCGGGTTTGAATGTAACGCTCGATACCATGTACACTCAGGATAATGTTGACCACGGCGTCGTCATGGGTGAGGGAGATGGAACAGTCAACCTCCTTAGTTCAGGTTACATGTGCACGAAAGGATGGAAGATGAAGAGATACAACCCAGCCGGCGTCAAGGTCACAACGTTTGAAATGAAACATGAACCTGATCGATTTAGCCCTAGGGGCGGTCCGAATACTGGTATGTTGTCTCCTCTTTCTCATGTTTTTTGTTGTTGTTGTAGGGTTTTTGCTGACGAGACTTGTGAAACTAGCGGATCACGTTGATATTCTTGGGAGGATGTCGTTGAACGATTTGATTTTGCAGGTTGCTGGTGGAAGAGGTGAATTGATCAACGAGACTATTCACTCTAATATTAGGGAGTATGCCGAAAAGGTCAAGATCTATGAGGAGGAAGCGTGAGGTTCTTAGGTAGTGGATGCGCTTGAGACCATAAGGTGGTATTACGGCTATTACGTCTGGACATCGGATCATGACCACGAGGATGAGGATGACTAGCGTGGTTGTGACACTTACGGGATGGTGGTGGGATTGATTGAGCTTGGAATGATACCATAGACTAACACTTGTTTTGAAGCCACTCTTTAGCCTGGCCATATACAATGAGCTCCACTGTCGTGGATTTTCCGGCATATCTTGCAGATGCCATGAGCTTTGAAGCGTTGGCGCAGCTACGTAGGTGGCAGGCAGTAACTTCATAAAACCTCGTATGCGGTAAAGTGGATGTGTCTTCATATTCGTCTTTACCTTCAAACAAAAGGCAGCACAACATGACTTGCATGCTCCCCGCCAACATGCACCAAGTGCACCCCTTTATTCCTCTCCTCCAACTCTACCTTCTTCCTCGGCCCAAACTCTTGTACAAGCGGATACTCGCCACTAACCTGCACACTGATACTCTCTCCAGCCTCAAAATCTACGCCCATGGCCCACAGTCCAATCTCCAGCTTCACCACCTCTCCTGGAGTAATCTTTTGCACTTCGTCGTGAGTGTGGAAGGGATACTGCGGATGAATAGACCTCGAAGGATCGGTCTTGCGGTGCGAGGCACGGAGGATTCCAGTGGGTCCGTAATAAATCATTAGGTTGCTGTAGTCTGATTCTGGGATGTCGGCAGCGCTGTTGTAGGGAGCAGCGGACCAAGGGATGTTGATGGCGATCATGGGCTTGCCTTGCTTATCTAGTTTGCGGATCAAGACGTAGACAATCATGTCGTTGAAGTCTGGACACGACATGTACAGCACGGCTTTGGGGAGGCCCATTAGGCGAGTTGGTTTGTCGAACTTGAGGGTGAATGCCGCGTGGGAGATGGGCGAGGTGCCGCTTTCGGAATCGTAGGAGAGCGTGCTGGTGTTTGTCGGTGCGCTGCTTTGAAGGGTATTGTTGTCACTGAGGTAGAGGGTACGGTACTCCGTTCGCGGTATGGGAAAGTCTTCTTCGACAATGGGGTAGATGGCTTCTTTGTCGCCGTAGTTAAGCGACGACATGCGCACGCGTGGTGTACTCTCCCAATCGTTCTTTTCGCCCTTGAGATAGCGGTCGAAGAAGGAAGCGAGCTCGTCAATGGATTCCTGAACTGCCCAGAGATCGTACCATTCTTGGTAAGGGTCCCAGCGTAGCCACTTATCCTTGGTGTCCACTTGCATCCAGCCGCGTATTGAGCCCATCGTGTGGACAAAACTCGAGTACGATGCGACAATGTACGTGGGTATCTTTATGCTTGCGATGTCTGCCCTCTTATCTGCCCAGTAAGGGTTCATGGTTGATGACCGCCGGTACATCTCCTTGAAATCTTCGAGACCGTTCTTCCCACGGATAACGTGTTCAGTGATGAAGTCGAATAGTCCGTTGTCCCACGCTCCTCCGCGTACAAATTGCTCTCGGTAAAGGTCACCACAAGCTTCCCAGGGCGCTATGGCTTTGAGTGATGGAGGTTGTGTCGCCGCGATGAACCATTGTACGATACCGAGATGTGAGTTACCAGCAAGTCCGATCGAACCGTTACACCTGTCAATGGTCAGTTTTGTGTCGTGCTGGAGACTAACGCGATACTCACCAGTCCATTTTTGCCAGTTCTTCGATCACATCGTGCCCATCCTCGCCTTCTTGCTTTCCCATGATAACAATGTCTCCGTCTGAGTCGCCTGCACCTCTTGCGTCCACATTAACGACTGCATAACCACGAGGACAGTATTCCGCCGGATCTGGTCCTTCAAATCGCTCAAGACCACTGAGACAACCTTTCGGCACGCCGCAACCCCATTTTACCTGGGTGGCATTAGTTACGGCTCTTGCTCAAATTCACTTTTCATGTGAAACACATACCTTTGACATCATGTCAATGCCCGTGTGTTTCTTGCCGAACGGACTCCAGGCCACGATCGCAGGCACCTTGACATCACTCTTGTCACTACTGACTGGTCGGTAGATATCGCAGTATAGAGTGCAGCCATCTCTGACTTTGACGGCCACGTCGTGTTCAGCGATCATATCTTCAGAGAGCGCGCGTGCCCCATCTCGACTTTGGTATCCTTTTGGAAGTGTCTCTTTGCGCGGGTTAAATCCTTGGTATCCATTCTCACCCACCTTGGGTGGTTTAACCGCAAGATTGGCAACTTGGAAGGAGAGAGGCATGATTGAAGAACGATGAAAACAAGAGAGTAGCTTTTTGAGAGCGATGTGCGGCGACATCATAAGGAGGATTCATCTTGGTTTTGAAAGACCGCGACTTCGGCCTGGGACCCAGTTGTCACCGCGTGAGTACCGCCCGACCGTTCTCGGCCGCGACATCTCTTGCCGATAAACCGTTTGTTTGATTCTTGTAACAGTCTTGGAGGTTTAGTGTCGGCATGTGGGGAGTTTCGAGATGCAAATGGGCGCTAAATCTCGCCCGTTCTCGACCGTGATGTATGGAGCCGCAGGGTCTACCCCACACAGAAGCTTGTCTCTCCCCACAGCAAGCGGCCGTGGACGGGCGAGCCGGGATCATGCCTCCGGGTAATTGTGTAGTGATGCGAAGTATATCAATAAGTGACCGTTAATGACCATTGAGTTCATATTCACAAATTTACTTCACACTCAGCATCACATTGCATTGCAACCATGGCACCTTTTCTTGACGAGAACGAGAGTATGAGCGCCCAGCAAAAGTATGGCGACTGGCGAGATGAATTCTACGAGAAGGGCTATGTAGTCCTCAAGGGCGTAGTGCCCAAAGAGCGAGCTCTAAAGTACCGCAACAAGATGATGGACTGGCTTGGCACCTTCCCCAACGACTTCGATATCAAGAACCCAGAG